AGAAGGGTTCCTTTTCCCCCCACAGCCCCACCAGTGTTTGTCATTGGTTTATTTATTGTCAAGAGCTATAGTTTCTTGAGTGAGATGGAATCTCAGCATTGTTTTAATTTGCATCTCTCAAATGACCTATTATGTTGAACATTATTTCATAATTTGATGTTTCTACTTCATCTCAGAATGGGCATCCTCTCAGATGCCCATTTTTGGATTGGGTCTTTAAATTAGGGGGACCTGATTTTTTTGAGTTCTAAATATTATTATATTATTCTAGATATTAGTCCTTTTTTGAGGAACATCTGGCAATTTTTTTTCTCATAATGTGATTGTCTCTTCATTCAGTTTGGTGGGGTCTTTTGCCGTTCAAAAGCTTTTTAGTAAGCTGAGATCCCAGTTGTTGATTCTTTGTGATACTTCCTATGCAATTAGGAGTTTTATTAATAAAGTCTTTGCCTACACAAATGTCTTAATGCTTGTACCTCTTCTGTCTCCCAGCAAATTTAGTGTTTCTGTCTTAATATTTACATCTTTGATCCATTTTGATTTTACTTTAATGCTTGGTGAAAGATATGAGTCTGGTTTCAATCTTTGGCATGGGGAAAACCAGTTTTTACAGGACCATTTAATGAATGAATGAATTAATTAATTTTTGGTACTGGGCATTGAACTTGGGTCCTTGCGCTTGCAAGGCAGGCAACTGACCCACTGAGCTAAATCCCCAGTGAAATATTTATTTCATGTTTCTCTCTCTCTCTTTTTTTATTTTTTATTTTTTATTTTTTGCAGGTACCAGGGATTGAACTCAGGACCTTGTGCTTACGAGGCAGGTGGCAATCCAGGACCATTTATTAAATAGGCTGTCTTTCTTCCTGTGACTCCTTTGTCAAAGATAAGGTGGCTGAGTATGTTTGGAGTTGTTTCTGCATCTCTATCTGTGCCACTGATCCTTGGGTCTTTTTTTTTTTTTTCTAATACCTTGCTGGTTTTTTTAAATCACAGTAGCTCTGTAGTATAGTTTCAAGTCACAAATTGTGATGCCCCCTGCCTTGCCTTTGTTGCCCAGGATTGCTTTTCCTAATCTAGGTCTCTCCTGGTTCCAAATGAATTTTAGAATTATTTTCTCTAATTCTGTGAGATATGTTACTGCTATTTTGTTCACGATTGCATTACATCTGTGTAACGATTTTGGAAATATGGCCATTTTCACTATATTGGTTCTTCCTACCCAAGAACAAGGGATAACTATCCATCTTCTGACCCTCTCTTTGATCTCCATTTTCAGAGTATTGTAGTTTTCAATGTAAAGGTCTTTTGCTTCCTTCATTAGATTGACTTCTAGATGTTCTATTTTTTGGAGGGGGATACTATTGTGAAAGATGTTGTTTCCTTAATTTTTCTCTCAGTGAGTTTTTTTGTGTACAGGAAGGTTGTTGATTTTTTTGAGTGTTCACTTTGTATCCGGCTATACTACTGAATTTGGTTATTAAATTAAGAAGTTTTTTGGACTGGAGATCTAGCTTAGTGGTTCCAGTGCCTGCTTTGTAAGTGCAAGGACCTGAGTTCGATTTCCGGTACCAAAAAAAAAAAAAAAAGTCTTTTGGTGAAGTTTTTGGAGTCTTCTATGTAAAGTATCATGTCATCTGCAAATAATTTAACTTCTTCCTTTCCTATCCTTATTCCTTTTATTTCCTTCTCCTGTCTAATTGCTCTGGCTAATGTTTCCAGAGCTATATTGAATGAGAGTGGTGACAGTGGACATTTTTGTCTTGTTCCTGATTTTAGAGTGAAAGCTTTCAGTTTTTTTCCATTTAGTATGATGTTGGCTATTGGTTTGTCATAGGTTTCTTTTGTCAGATTGAGATAAAGACTATCATCTATTTCAATTTTCATGAATGGGTGTTGGACTTTGTCAGATGCTTTTTCTTCATTTATTGAGATTATCATGTGGTTTTTGTCCTTGCCTCTGTTAATTTATTGTATTACATTTATTGATTAGTGTATGTTGGAGCATCACTGCATCCCTGGGATGAATCCTGCTTGGTTGTGGTGTGTAATCATGAAGATTTGCTGCATTCTGCTTGCTAGTATCTTACTGAGGACTTTTTCATCAGTGTTCATTGGGGAGATTGGCCTGTAGGTCTCTTTTTGGTTGGATCCGTCTATGGTTTTGGTTTCAGGGTATGTTTGCTTCCAGGAATGAATTTCGGAATATTACTTCCCTTTTAATTTCATTGAAGGGTTTTAAAAGTAATGCACTAGGTCTTCTCTAAAATTCTTGGAGAATTCAGCTGTGAATCTGTCAGGACTTGGGCTTTTCTTTGTTGGTAGGTTTTTAATTACATCTTCAATTTCATTGACTGATATTGGTTTATTTAGAACTTTTGTATCTTCTTGATTGAGCTTTAGTAATTCATATGTATCTAGGAATCTGTCCAATTCTTTTGTGTTTTCCATCTTATTAGAATACAGGTTCTCGAAGTAGGTATTGATGATCTGGATTTCTGTAGAATCTGTTGTGATTTCACCCTTTTCATTTTTAACTGCATGGATTTTTCCTTCCTTTTTTTCTTGACAAGATTGGCCAATAATTTGTCAATTTAGTCTTTCAGAGAGCCAACTCATTAATCCATTGATTCTTTGTACTGTTTTCTTAGTCTCCATTGCATTAATTTCTGCTCTGATAATTTCCTCCTGTTTATGAGCTTTGGGCCTGACTTGCTCTTCTTTTTCTATAAGCTTGAGGTTCAACATTAGGTTGTTTATTTGATCTTGCTTTGTTTTTCTGATATGAGAATTTACCACTATAAATTTCCCTTGTAGGACTGGTTTCATTGCATCCCATAAGTTTCAGTGTGTTGTATTGACATTATTGTTTAATTGTAGACACTAATTCCTTCTTTAATTTCATTTATGACTCATTGGTTGTTCAGGAGAGTGTTATTTAATTTTTATGTGTTTATAAAGTTTTTGTGGTGTCTTTTGCCATTGATTTCCAATTTCATTGCACTATGGTATGATAATTTGGATGGGATAGTTTCAATTCCTTTCCATTTACTTAAGCACATTCTATGAACTAGTATTTGGTCTATTTTGGAGAACAACCTATGTGCAGCTGAGAAGAAAGTATTTTCTGATGTTGTGGGGTGGAACACTCAAGTCCAGTTTTTCAAAAGTTTGGTTCCGTTCTGCTATTTCTTTGTTGATTTTTTGCTACTTGATCTGTCTATCTGTGACAGTGGAGTATTGAGGTTTCCCATTACAATTGTATTAGTGTTTATTTGATTCTTATGTCCATTAATATTTGTTTGATATAACTGGGTGTGTTGGTACTTGGTATATATATATTTATATATATATTCATTTATATATTATATATATTTATTATTGTTATCTCTTCTGTTGGATTGCTTCCTTTATAAGGATGTAGTGACCTTTGTCTCTCTTAATCAGTCTTGGTTTGAAATCCTCTTTGCAAATAAAATAGCTATCCTTGCTTTTTTTTTGGCTTCCTGTCACATGGAGTATTGTTTTCCATCCTTTGACTTTCAACCTATGAATTCCTTTTTAATGTGGTTTTTGTTTGCAATATATTGTAGCTCTTTGATCCATTCTGCCATCTGTTTCTTTTGATTGGTTAATTCAGACTGGACTAGTGGATGGATGAGTCCCAGCAAGCCTACAGATTTTATTCCATTGAAGTTCAGGCTGGTTTCTGACTGTAAGACTGAAACCTGATTTTTTTCAGCCTGCAGCACTCTGTGTGCCTCCTGCCAGTTTGAACTCGGTTCTGCCTCTCTCTGATGCTGGGAGCTAGAAAGAGCCAGAGTTTCTTGGAGTTCTGAGCTTAGTTGACCTCTCTCTAAGATGGCTACCAGCCAGTCACACTTTCTTAGGAGAGATCTGAACCCAAATAACTCACTTGCTACTTCAGTCAACTGCATCCAGTGCTTCATTCCACTGGTGCATTTCTTCACGAAGCCTCTGGTGTCACCAGTAGTCACTGTGTTTCTGCAGGTTTGAGCTGCCCTTCCCATAAAGTGAGTCAGTGCTCAGGGAGAAAGCACCACTTGTCACCTCCTACTTCATTGAAGTCTCTCTGCTCTCCCTGTGGTCTTCAGTTCTCACTTCAGACCTCTGCTGAGTCCTGGGGACCCACTTCCTTCCTTCTCTTCCTTACATTGCTACTTTCCAAGGTCTGGGCACCAAATTCTGGAGAGGATTTCACTACTGTTCACCACTCCGCCATCTTCTTTTGGAAGTTTTCCTGATTTCAGTCCTGTTCTTTATCTTATGGCCTTTACTTGTGATTGTTCCAGGCTGTTTCACAATCACCTCTATGTTCCCATGGGTAGGTCTTAGTGTTCTTACTCTTAGGGATAGCTTCTTAGGCAGAAACTTTGTGGCAATGAATAATTGGTAACAATATCTGTGGGTTAAAGTTTGCCTGATGATTACCAACTTGAGAGCTCTGATAGCTTCCGTTCCTGAGTCCAGAACCCTTTGCTCTTGCTTTCAATCTCAATTCAGGGTACTAAAAGAATCACAAAGTACTAGTAATATGCAGTGCTCCTTGTCCCCAAACATGGATAGAGGTTTTGAAGCCTCCTGTGGCTCTGCAAGGGTAGAATGACCCACCCTGTCTGTTTACCCATCCAGCTCTTCCTTGTCAGATGCCCAGCTCTGCAGCAATTGCTCTGGATACTCCGGTTATTGCAAAGCAGCCCCTGTGGGTTCCCAGGCCAGCGCCAGGACATCTAGAGGAGGAAGGTGCTGGTGGCATGGACTGGCAATGAGGACTGGTGGTTTCTGCTACCACGGGTGGGGGAAGGGCATCAGTTTTATATCATCAACATGACATAGAGATGTCCTCTGTGTTTGTTTCAGTTAGCAAGTTCGTTCATGTTCTGTAATAATCAGATGTATATTTTTTGTTTTGTGCTATATCCACTAAAAATCTAGTCTATCCTATTTATTTCCCGACAATATATTTGTCACCCTTATAGGAAGAATCCTGTCCATTTTCAACACTTTAGCCATCCTGGTGACAATGATTATGGAGGTATGCACGTCACGGGTCAAGATGAGACTGATGACCGGCCTGAATGTCCCTACGGGGCATCTTGTTATAGGTATGGAAACTGAAATACTTGGCTGTACCATCTTCCCTAAGCTGTCTTATTTATCCAAGACCAAGTATGATCCACTTCTCACCTCAAATCTTTAGTTTTTAAACTTTCACATATTGAAAATTTGTTCTTTGTTAATAGGTAGGATTATGGTTCTTTATATAATTCTAAATTTTTGAAGTTATTAATCCTATAGGTACTCATCATTTTTCTTCATTTCTAACTTCCTAAAGTGCAAATCAGATTATTTCAAAGCTTCTGATGCTACCCCAACATATACTCTATTGAGATAACCAGGTATGATGTGTAAATCCGTTCAGATGTTATTGCCTGTCTTCCCCCACTTTCTCTTTTCCTACTGCTCCAACATTTTATAACACTGTTATAAAAGAAGAGTAAGAATACCTCTCCTCGTGCTTCCATAGCATATCGGCTTCCTCTGTATCATACACAAAGTAGAATTCATTTCTTGAAATTGTATTTATTTCTTTACCAGAATATCTGCCCCTCCAGGAAACAAGTATCTTGAAAGCAAGAATGTCTATCCTTGGTATCTTGCAATTTTGTTTAATGAATGAATGAAATTGAATGGAAACAAACTAAGAAAGAAAAATGTTGTGATTCCATTTTAGGAAATATTAAGGCCAGATAGCAAGTATTCTTTTTAGGTAATTTTGAATGTAGGTTACTGAACCTACTGACTGTCCTGAAGTCCTTGGTATTTCAAAGGTTGTGGTTTTCAGTAAGATAGCAAAATAATCTTATGAGACTGGAAAGAAAAATTAAAAGGCTTATCCCTTATCATTTTAAAAATAAGTATTCCATTCCATAAAAAAGAAGATTCTGCAAATAATAAGAGGATATTGTGATCAACTTTTTTAGTAAATTTGAAAATTTAGAAAAATACAGAAATTCCTAGAAAAATACAAATATAAGAAACATAAAAATAGAAAATGAAAAAAATCATGTAACATTAGAGAAACTTAATAATTAAAACCTTCTGAAGAAATTATAGATCTATTTGATTTTACTGGCAAATTCTACCAAATATGTAAAGAAACTCAAGCTTTCCATGAACTATTCCAAAGAAGACAAAAGAGAGTATATTTCCCACCTTGTATTATGAGTTGATACCAGAATCTAGCAAGAATAACACAAGGATGAAAAATTACAGAACAAGCTTACTTCTGAATATAATTATAAGTATCCTGAGGAAAGACTAAGTGTGAATCAAGCAACAAGTAAAAAGGAAAATATAATATGACTAAAGGAGTTTATCTTAGGAATGCATGCTTTATTTAATTTTAAAATCATTAAGTTATGTCATTAGAATAAATATAGAAGTTATGTAGCCAATAGTTGGGGCTGCAAAACCCCCAACAAAAGTCAGCACTAATTTATGATAAAAATTTACTACAAAATAGGATTGGAAGAGAATATAAAAGGTACCTACAAGAAACTTCTAGCAAATACAATACTAAAAAAAAAATTAAAATTTCCTTTCTGAAATAAAAAATGGAACAATAATGCATTTTATTACTAGTAATTCAGTTTGTTAATGAAATGGAGATTCAAAGCAGTGTAGTAAGACAAGAAAAGGAAAATAAAGATTGAAAAGTGAGAAATACAAAAAGTGATCACAAATGGCATTATACATAAGAAATACAAAATACATAAGAAATACAAAATAGCCTACTGATGAGTTATAAATATTAATAAATGCTTAGCAAGGTTTCTTGATACAAAAATCAATATACAAAATGTATTTCTATATACCAATGCCAACCAGTTAGAAAATAAAAATTTGTAAAGATAATATAACATCATCACAAGTATCAGGTTCTTTTTTTTTTTTTGTAACAGGACAAGTATCAAATTCTGAGGAATAAATATAATACAAAGCATGAAAACCTTTCTGGAAAAAACATATAGAAAAAAAATTTCTGAAATCTCTAAGTAATTAAAAAGATGGAAATGTTCACAGTTCAACAAGTCAGTATTGTTAAATTGTCAGTTTTCCTCAAATTTATGTGTGCGCAAACCATTTGGAATCATAGTACCTTTTGTGTAGAAATTTAGAATGATTCTAAAATTTATATGGATATGCAGGAGACAGAAATAGTCATTGTTACCTTAAATAATGAAGAACAAGTGGCAGGACTTGTTATACCTCATCGTAATTAAGATGGACACAAAGACAAGGTGATGACTAGAACCAAATAGATCCAGAAACAGACAAAACAATGCAGCTGTAAAGATAAATAAATAGGGGTGGTTTCATGGATCCCAAAGCAGGGATTATTTCCTAAACAAGATGGATAATGAAGTAATTAAAATGGAAACTCAATTATTTGACTGTATCAAAATGAGGATATTTTTAATCTATCAGTAGACAATATTAAGAGAGTGAAAAGTGAGACTGATATTTGCAACTCATATTTCTGACAGCAGAATATGTATATCCAGGCACATGAAAAGATGTTTCAAATTGTCATTGCTCTTTGGTTAGTGACATGAACAAGCTTTTTCTCCTAAAGGAAATCCAAATGGTGAACAAACATGTGAAAAAATATACAATATTATTAGTAATCAGGGAAGTCACACACACACACACACACACTCACTCACACTCAATCTACCATGGATACCTTTCTTTTTTCTCATTTGTTCCTTTAACGAGATACCTTCCTTTTACAAGAAGGGTCTTTGCCCCTGAAACAACATGGATGGGAGGTTTCATATGATGGGCTTTTGAAACTTTAAATCCAGACCTTTAGCTTCTCACATATCCTAAGAGCTCAACAAATATTTCTTAGGAAAAATACGTTTTGTGTATGGGAGTCCTTTAGTTTCCAAACTGCCATGAAAATTCCACTGAGAGCATGAAAACCTTTACTAGTTTCTCTGTCTTCAAATGTAGTCTTTTTGGGCTCAAATGCCATCCTTAACCCATACCAAAAATTGACAACTGCCTTTAGGAAAGAAAACAGGTAGTGATTACCAACTCTCATAGGTAGGGATTTTTTATTTCTGGAATGTAGGTAACCTGAAATCCTCATTGCTTCTGTCATATAAATAATTTTTACAGTATGACGGGGGTTTTCCTAGTTAAAAGAAGAATATTGTTTCACAAAGTTGCCCTACATCCTTTCCAGGACCAAAATATATAAGCCTGTCCTTGAATTGAGTGAAAACAAAATACAAAGACTTGCTAAGAATAAATCCACCAAAATTTTCTATCTCTAAGGGATCAATCTCTTTAAAAGACACCAGAACAAGGAGAAGTCAAGAAAAATTACTCCCAGGCCAGCAGCCTTCATGTCCTAGGCAAACCATAATACCTATATCCTGTATCTAACTGTACATGTATGTGTGTGTGTGTGTGTGTGTGTGTGTGTGTGTGTGTATGTGTGTATGGATAGGTGTGGCATTTAAAAAAATTTTTGAGCTACTTTGCAGCCTATTTCTAGTTGCAGGTAAAAATTTAAGATTATTTTCTTTCACTTATTTTAATTGTGATATCCAGAGAGACTTATGATTGAGCTGCAAAATGGTTTTTTTTCCAAATAAAAAATTCCTTCACAAAATAAAGTTAAGAATTATTCTCAGTAAAACTATTTTTCTTTCAAATGAAATGCTGTGTTCATTTTTTACTTTTTGCTTCCCAGTCTTAGATTTGTGCACTTGAATATGCGCAAGTCAGTTTCTCTTTCTGATGTATCTAGATGATTTCAGATGTTGTCTACATTGTTAAATAATAGTCTACATACCACCTTATTAGGTTTATAGGGTATTTTATTGTGTTTCCAAGTATTGTCATGCATATAGAGCATATAGAGTAAATGTATAAATATAAAATTGTAAATGTATGGGTATGTTTCATTTTCAGCCATTCCATCTCACTAGTAAAACTGGGAAAAATAAATATTGATCACATATAAAAGTGCATATTATAGTAAAAATGCAGATTTCCACAGCTCTTTTAATGTAGAATACTTTTTTTAAAAAGGATATAGTTATTAAATTTTATGTTTTTCTAGACTTACAGATATTTGTTAACATTTTCCTGACTTGTTATACTTTTTTAATCTAAGAAAATTAAATTCTACTTGGAAAAAATTGTAAGTTAAAAGCACTAATAGGTGGTGTCATCTGAAGTATTTTTCTCACTCAACTACTTTATTTTTCTTCTGCTATAAACTTCTGTTTGGCAGAAGGCCCACTCAGTTTAATGGCTTTCATTAGTTTGCACTTGTCTGAATTAGAACATTAGATACATAATGTCTGACATGACCCAGTGATCGCTGTTCCTGCCTCTGCCTCATTCACTTTCTTTGATGAATAACAGGGCTTTGTGCAGTGTTACTGATTCATGCTTTCTAAATTAAGCACCAAATTTAGAATACGTACAAATGAAAGTGAATGGAATCTGTGCTTAATCAACTTATCATAAGGATGTAAAGTTAAACTTGTGTACTTTATCTCAAATGTATGAAATTTGAGGTAGTCATGTGTCATGCAGATGAAAATGTTGATGCCTTGATGCCTTTCAGAAGCCAATGCCCTTTTGTAAATTATAATGTCTTCTAAGAGGGATAACATAGGAGGCATATCAGTTACCAGTTATAAGTGCTATTGATGTAGTGCTGATCTGCAACATGGCCTGCTTATTTTGAAAGAACACAATGTTTTGCTGCAAGCCTAATTAAAAATTTTAAAAAATATATATTTGATAGTAAATTCATTTTTTTGCTGATCTAGGTTTATAGCTATGATATAAAATTTTTTTACTGTTTATTTTTGAAAAGTGTTTTAAGTTAATGTAGTATATTATCTTAACTGATCATATAGATACTCACTTTACAGATAATGCTTTCTAAAAGCCACGGATTAAAAAAAAGAACATGTATATTTAGTGCACATCTAGATCATAATATTAAGGAAAAATAATAGATCTTTATAATGTGACTTTAGTTGTCAGGTAGTCAAGATGTCCCAAATTA